TTCTTTCTTTCTTTCTTTCTTTCTTTCTTTCTTTCTTTCTTTCTTTCGTTTTTTTTTAAAGCAGGATTAGAGTAAAAGAAAACTGAGTTACAGAATCTATTTTGCTTCTATTGCCAATCATCTTCAGACTAGAAAGAGAATTGAGCTGAAGACGAAAGTGTAATTCATAGTAAGTGAGGGATCAAGAAGGAAGGCCTGTGCTCAAACCAAGCTCCCATGTTCAGGCTGAAAACCTGCACGCTCAGATACACAAGGAGAGTGCCGGCATGGGGCCTGAGCTCTCGTCGCCCAGAGGTCCACAGAAAACAGAAGGCAGTGAAAGACTTGTGATAAGAAAACGTCTCCATTTTCAAAGGAAATGGGCTCTAGATATAAGAAATCATTGGCCAATCTAAAAGGATTAAATAAAGGAGGCAGGGTCACGCAGAGAGGAATCTCTGCTAGGAGGCTGGATAAGAGAAAATGCCCAAGACAGGAAGTACTTCGGGCCCTGAGTTCTACCACCTTCCAGGAAAAGAAGAGAACCTGGGAGCTGAGCTGTGGACTCAGCTCCACCGAGAAGTCACATGATGGTTAAGGGAGATAACCTTCCTTCTGAAGGTGTCCAAGGAGACAGGACAGCTCCTCTCTGCCACTGGAAAGGCTGCTACATGGCCAAGGCTTGCTCCAAAGGACACACCAGGGAGTTATTTTACAAAAGTCAATTCTAGGTCGATGGTTGATTCATCCATTTACAGGGCTTTTGACATAGGGTCTCACCGTTCTCTCTCTTAAACTGGGACTCACTACTTAGCTCAGGTTGCCCCAGACTTGCACCAAGCCTCCTGTTTGTGCCCCCCGAAGTGCTGGGATTCTAGCTGTGCTTGGCGCGGCTTCTCAAGCCCAGATATGCAGAGAAGTAGCTTTTCTGGTAACCACCATTGGCCACACACAGCACAGCTATCATGGGAAGGCTGCAGTGTCAGGGGCGGGCTGGCTTCATTCTCTGCTGTCCTGTAAGGTAGCCTTCCATTGTGTGGCTCCCTGGTTCTCATCTCGACCGCAGCTCTGGAGGACGCTAGGCTTCCTTATTTAAGGTGTGTGTGCATACCACCCGAGATTGACCCAAGGGCCTTGTGAGGTGGCAGAAAGCATGTGCTACATATTAGGGCCTTTTAAACGTTTTCTTATGGAATAGGGCCTCACTAAATTGCCCAGGCCCGCCTTGAACTCACTCTGAATTCCAGACAGACTGAATTAATGATAGTCTTGCTGCAGCTTCCTGAGCAGCTAGGCTATCAACAGGCCTGCATTCACAGGCCCAGCTCCAGTTTACTTTTTTTCAACAGTTCTAGTAAAACACACCTTCATGAAGCAGAACCTCAAACCGTCCCTTAAGAAGCAACAGGACCTGAAGAGTATGAGCACCAAAGAAGGTGACCTCAGGTTGTGGCCAGTCAAGAAGTGGCCAGCTTTGAGGTCTGAGGGAACCAGCCCTCACCTGAGTGCCCGCGTGGGGGAGCTTGATGTTCTGAGCAGCAGCGGTCACATCGATGGAAGCCCGCACGAGAATGTCCAAGTAGTTCAGTTTGGAGTACTCCTGTGGAAGACAAGAGATGTGTTAGGAAAGTGATGTCCTTGGCAGTAGCACATTCTTCCGGGAGGCTGTGGGGTGGGGAAAGCCACACCTCTAGAAATGTACTGTTCCACAGCCTGGAGCGCAGAATGAGGGAGGCCTTGCTGTCCAGCCCTCGGAGCGGGCACCGGATGTTCACACAGTTCACGTTGGTGCTGCAGTTCTGTAGAGGGGACTGGAGGTCAGAACCCACCACTCTGCTCTGGGAAGCCGCTCCTCGTCTCCACAGAGCACATCCACAGCCCAGAAAAATACTCACGAGGGTCTGGTATTTTCTTTCAGAAAATAAAGAAAATTTCCTGCTGTCATCTATCAGTTTTTCAGGAACCTCCCGTTTCTTTCTTGAGTTGTGAGACTCCTAAAAGAAACACGCGAAACAGCCGAACTTTATGTAAATTTGCCACTGCCATATAAGCCTTCCAAATAAAGCCAAATTTACACCAAGATCACCCTGGGCTCCATAAAAACTGCCTCAAAAAATAAACAGCCAAGCCAGGCACAGTGGCTCACGCCTTTAATCCCAGCACTCAGGAGACAGAGGCAGGCAGATTTCTGATTGCGAGGCCAGTGTGGTGAGTTCCAGGGCAGCCCCGACCAGACAACAGCAAAACCCCTCAGACTTTAAAGGAGAAGTAATAGCCATTCACGGACCATGCAGACACTCATCACACTGGACATGTAATCGTGCTGCAGCAGAGAGGGGGTGGACTTTGAAATCAGTGGGAGCTGAGGTGCAGAATCTACCTATCTCTTCATAGCCATTCTGAGGTCACTATGGCTCCAATTCTCAGCCCACCCATTGTGGGGATAACAGAAACTAACTCACAGTGCTCAGTCCTGCCTGACACAGTAAGGGAGCCTGTGAACTATTAATAAGAATGAGCGCACTCCACGTCATTTGCCTCAGCCTTGCCGGTGCTTCCCTAAAGCTCCTTGCAGTTCATCCCCCAGCGGAATCTCCCAGTTTTCCGTGCCTGCCTTATCGGGTCCCAACACTTTAGGGAATGTCCTTCATTCCAGCAAGTGGAGGATCCACGACGGTCATTCATCAGCAAAAACAAAAAATGCCCTAGCCTGGCTGGGTGGCTCAGTTATGAATGAGAACCCTCATAACCACAGGAGAAGGCAACAGGCCTCGGTGCAGCCTCCCTAGCGGGGCGGAGTCTGCCCCTCCAAGGGCGAGCAGCTCTATATGACACCTGGGAGGGCAGGAGACAGGTCAACCTACCTTCAGCTTCAGGAAGTTTATTTCACTGTGTGGCTCACAAACGATCTGCTCCAAACCTTTGGATTCTACTTTCACCAGATAAAGCAACCATTTGCCGTTTCTAATTTCCTTGGGCCACTGTATATTCAAGGTCGCTGTGCCGAGGTTTTTAAGAGGTTTACCTAAGTTAATCACCTGTCAGGGAACACCAGATAATCGCTACAATATAATCCTTTTAAGGCAAAATTAAGGAGCTCTTCTTACTGCCTAAATACTCAGCATAATCCTATAGCAGCAACACAAATCCCCCAAACGGATCAGGAACTGGGTGTGCAAAACAGACAGCTGTACTTAAAAGATTCTTCTCATAAAAACAGAAGGGGGAAAAGGTCAAAGGGAAAGGACTGCTGGTTCAATCCAGGAGTGTGACGGTGTGACAGGTTCCCAACAGCAGCCCCCAGAGAGTCCTGGGCAGTCTGTGAATTGTTGAGTGAGCGTCCTGTCTGGCAGAGGACAACAAAGCCTCTCCTCCAGCAGCAGCAGCACCCATATCCTTCCTGCTTCTGGAAAACCTCCCTACTGTGATGGCTGCCTCTGCCACCGCTCCACAGGGAAGACTCCGGAGAGCCACAGCTCAGAGCGAGTAAGCGCTGGGGTCATGGGAGCCTTGTACAATAGGGGTATGGAGAGAGAAGGCAGAGTGGCCTCCATGTACCACAAGGCACAGCTCTCCAGCCTCATCTGACTGCACAGAGCTCGACTGACCGGCATTTGAGAGAACATGCCTCTTTAGAGTGCTGGGTTAGGGCCAAGTCCATTCTCGAATTTCAGGCCTCATCAGAAATGCTCACCAGGATCTCAGGACCACAATTTGCAATGCAGACCCAATTCCATATGAGGTACAGGCAAACATCACGGTCCACATTCAAGTCCGTTAAACTGAACCTAGAGTCGCTGCGCTGTCCACTGGCAGCCCATCATCTATCTGCCCCTGCTGGCACATACCCAGGCTATTTCACCTGAACAGGGCTTGCCCAAGGGAGGTAAATGTGAATATTCTCTCAGCCAAGAGCATCAGAAAGATGGCTTTCTAACAAAGAAAGAAATGAATTCCACATTCTAAGCTCAACAACAAACTGCTCAGAAGTTTTTGTTTTATAGACTGAGGAAAAAATATTACTTTGCATCTACAAATACACGCATGGTACAGCTTCCTAAGAAGAGCAGGCAGAAAGAATCCACTTGGAACCAGAGTCCCTGCTGAGTGACAGTTTTTCTTTACTCGGGAGGACAAAGTTTCCATTGTCAATGACCAGCAAACATTTTCAACTGAGTATTCCCTTCAGGTGTTTGTGACTGATCACTGATTAACAAGACTTGATTAACAGCATCTTGTTAACCAATGGTCAGTCACAAACCTTGACTTATCAAGACTGGATCTAGGACCAATCTCTCTCACTTACCCTGAATTCATACTCTATTAAACTCCCTACTTCATCTTCAGATTTCATCGCTTGTTCACCAACAACTGTACCTCCAAAATACACCTGCGAAGGTTTAGCGACTCTGTCAAATTAAAAAAAAACACCCGTTTTAGTGAGAATTATAAACGGCTCTTTCAAACGCTGATTTGTTATGCCATACACAACACTTACCCGGAGACCGATAAAAGCAATTCAATAACCACTTTTGCTTTTGCAGTAATTGGAGCCAAATTATCCTGATTGCTTGTTCTGAAAATGAACGGGGGGGAAACAATGGGTTTTATTTGAACAGTCAGTTTTCTCATTTACAATTACATTTCTTTCATGAGTTAGATCAGGGCTGATTCAGTGACTCCCGGGTTCTCATGGAACAAGCATGAATGGGAAGGTTGAAGTAACTCTTACGTTTCCAACTTCAGATTAATATCCAGATCTGTGGTGTCAAAGGTGACCTCAGTTGTACTTAAAATCAGATAAAAAGTAACCTAAAAAAATACACACGAACGGTTTGTTACCAAGGGCCAGGCCTTTGGACACAGCACTGGTATTCAGGACAGTAAGACCGAGGTCAGAGGCATCACCTACACTGGAATTTCTCTTGAAAGGATTTCCGAGCTCACAGTCTGCTTGGGAGCCATTCTGGTTGGCGACACAGCTCAGCTGCTTCTCCTGCGGTAGAAAAGGCATGGGGAGAGGGAGGGTGTCACAGTTTGTTCACTTGGGTGGTCTTGGCCTCTCCCTCCTGCTGGCTTCTTAAAGACACTCACGGGGAAAGCCCTGAGTTCTCTGTAGGCCGAGTACGTCAGAGTGTCTGGGAACGTCGCTACGAGCTTGGCTTCGTGAGCATCGTCGCCATCTTTCCTGGGATTCCTCGGATCCGAGGGGCCATTGGTCACTGTTATTTCCAGAGCTATGTCTTTCTGATCTTTTAGGACTAATTCTGGGATGCCTTTTTGACTATTGGAAAAAAAAAGGGGAGGTGGAGAGAATCTCAGCACCGCGTGTTCTGTTCCCTTAGTGACCAAACCCCTGTGCCAGTTACTTCTGCTTCTGACTCTTACATTGGAAGGTAAGAGAATTTGTCTTGATTTCCTTCTCGGGTGCAAAATTTATACTCTAGCTTAAGGTTGCTGTTACAGACATTGTCGTCTCCACATCCCTCCTTTAAGAAGTGCACCTGGAAGGAACCAAATGCAGAGAGGTCAGTTCCTAGGGGTCTTCACAGTCCATTTCCCTGCCACACACCTGCCTCCTGCTCTCCCAGAGTGACTTCAACCAGGTCAAGGCGGTGGGGCGCAGCAGAGCGTGAGTCCCCGAAGCCACGGAGGCTCTGGTGCCTGCTTAGCTGTGTGGCTTTAGACAGGGCACTTAACTTTTCATTCTAGCTAGGTTTCGTCACGGTCTCGTAGGAGAGAGCGCTGCTTTATCTTCAGGGCAGCTGTGTAACGGCCTTATGCTGCCTAAAGTGATTTATGGATTTTAACTCCTCACAGCAGTCTGAGGAGACCCTATCACTCTGAGCCACGTTGTACACATGAGGAAAGCACAACTCGGAACAAGGAGGATCTCCTTTCCTGTCATGTTTGACTTGGCTCAGGAGCTGGGAATGTACGCAAGAATTAGGAACATAGTAAAATGTAAAGCATCACAGAACAAGAAGTATAAAGAACACGACTAAGTCTAACTGGTGACTAAGACAACGGACAAAGCGTAGACTTACACTGAAAGCAGCGAGTCTTCCTTCCCTTTTTCTTTTTTTTCATTTTGCTTTTTTGAGACAGGGTTTCTCTATGTAGCCTTGGCTTTTCTGGCTGGCCTTGAACTCACAGAGATCCACTTGTCTCTGCCTCCCAAGTGCTGGGATCACAGGCATGTGCTACCACAACAGAACAAGTCCTCCTGTGTGGCATCCGACCCAGAGCCTCAGAGTGGCCTCTCCAGCAGGAACTGGATTTGTCTTTTTGGGTTTTATGAAGATAGGGTGTCAGGCAGCTCAGGCTGGCCTCAAAGCTGCTATAGAGTCAAAGATGGCCTTCACCTTCTGACCCTCCTGTCTCTGACTCCCGTCACAGGCTTGGCCACCTGGCCATTTTCATGTGTGCTGGGGAATGAAGTCAGGGTTTTGTGTATGTTAGCCAAGCACTCCACCATGTCAGATCAAAGCGTGTAAGCATTTGGGAGGCCCAGGGTATAATTCCCAGCACCAAAACAGTAATCAAAATATTAACAGCCAGGCTGTGGCAGGGACACCTTTAATCCCAGTAGTAGAAGGAGGAGGAGGAGGAGGCAGGTGAGTTCAAGGCCCGCCTAATTCTACAGAGCAAATTCCAGGACAGCCAGGAATAAAACACCAGAAACAAATCCCATCTTGAAAAAAAGAAATGAACAAGATGTCATGCTTCTCTGGGCTCATTTAACATCTCTACTCTGACCTAGGACATAGGTCTTGTTCACAGAACATGTCCAGCGGGCCACAGAATACACATTTTCTTTCTACACAGACCCAAGCTGCACTAGACACTGAAGTATTTCATTGTGAATTTTTTTTTTTTCTTTGCTAAGTTTTGCTGTTTCTTGATTTGTCATCATACTGTGTTGGTCTCTGTGGTAAAATAAAACATGTCAAGTATAGGAGAAACAACAGGAGAATGAAAATTTAGTTTCAGTAAGGACTAGGGGACAAAAATAATGAAGACAAATTCAACCTGATCCCCAAATTCCATCTCACAGGTTTCTATATTTGCTGCTAATTTGAGAACCAACTTCTCAGAAGCCAAATATGGATACAGAAATATGTAGTATTTTTTTTTCTCTTGGACAGGTCACACCTTAAACCCTAGTTGACTGAGAACTTGCTGTGTAGACCAGGCTGGCTTTGAACTCCACAGACATCCTCCTGCCTCTGCCTGCTGAGTGCTGGGATTAAAGGTGTACACAACACCATCATACCTGGCCCTAAGGAAGTGGCCCATAAAACAGATCCCTAGTTCTGTGGCCTTCAGAGACATTAGGTTCAGAATCAAGGTATGATAAACGCTGGCAAAACAAAAGCCAGGAAAGCTTACATCTGTCTGGACTGTTTTGGCATCATTGGAGTTCAGGATGGGAAAAACTTCGGGAAGCGAGTTCACGCGCCGGCGGGTGCTGGGCTCCCGGATTTCCACCGAGGCGGTGATGGGGATGGGCCGCAGCTTGTCTCTGATGTTCTCCTGCAAGGCATGCGGTGGCATGGGTAAGTGTGGTCAAAAACGCAGACGGACCTCCAAAATAATGACAGCGCCATTGCGCAGACACCTAAGCATCAGCCAACGCAGTCACATTCTGTTCTCCTCGCCTCGGGGAAGGCTCAGGCGCACACTCACCTGCAGCCAGAGGGTGTCCTCCATGCAAGCCCGCTGCTTCTGCCTGTTCAGGGTGAGCTCCTGAGTATACTTTGGCTCAGAACCTTGGTTTCGAAACTGAACGCGGGATGACAGCCCAGCTTTCCGTCTTTCTTTTTCAGCTTCAAGTATGCCCACGATGGCTAGGTTGAAATGAACAAAATCATGTTAACTTAAAGCGCATCTCCACGCCCCCTGGGCTACAACTCTGTACAACAGCACTTTGTCCCATAACCTTTGTTTCTCCCTGGTAGGGGAACTTCTACTGCCCTGAGAGGTTTTTTAATCCACTTGTTGTCTCAAGGCTGTTACTATTTTAAAGTTAAACTCTCACTGGACCACCTGGGGGAGCTCAAGAACAAGCTAGAGTTTTTGGCAGCAGCTAGAGATCAATCAGTTCAGCTAGAGATCAATCAGTTCCTGGCTGGATTTCAGGAACCCACAGAATACTAGAGGAAACTGTAAGTACCCAATGGTCCTGCCTTGGGACCCTTCTAGCCTGTGCCTCCCCACCTGGGGTCTTTGCTATTTGAAAAGGTGTCTGGGAAAGCAGGCTCCTGAAGCTGAGCTGGCACTTGCATTTTAGAGCCAATAAGTAAAGGAGACACACACATTACAGATAGAGAAGTCCTTGAGAGCAGAGCAAGAGAAACGTGTAACCCCAGCTCTTGCGAGCAAAGGGAAGAACTGCTATGAATTCAAAGGTAGCTTCAGCTACAGTGTGAATGTCTGAAAAACAAGAGACATAGATAGATAGTACATATAAGAGATAAATGGATGGATGGATGGATGACAGATAATAGACGGATAGATGATAGACAGATAATCAGACACAGACAGACAAATTTCGCTGACATCCTTTCAGCAGCTGGAAGCCAGTTGGTCAGCCCAACACAGCTTTTATCCATAAGCCTCTCGCCTGCGGCAGAGCTGGCTGGCTGCTCACTAATGCCGAGCTGCCTCTGCTAATGCAGCTTGGAGGCAGGCCAGGATCTGGATGGTCAGGAGCTCACTTCTGGACTCTGGAATGCATTCTTCACTGGGTCACTGGATGAGGCTGCTAACTGTGCTTTTCATGGGCCAGTACTTAAATTACTTACATTCATTAGGCACTCACTAAAACCATCAGGGAGGAAAAAAGCATGTGAGCAGGCGCAGAGGGGCAGAGAAAACAGCCTCTGTGTGGGGCGGGGGGACGGGGACCAGGACAGACAAAACTCTGCTCCAGAAAATGTAGAAAACGAGCAACTTACATTTTACCACTCATGCTAGGGTGAAAGAAATCTTTTTGTGGGTTTGTTGTTTGTTTGATTTCGTAGGCCAGGGTGCCCGAAACTGGCTATGAAGTTTAGGGATGATCTGAACAGATCCTCCCTCCTGCCTGCACTTCCTGAGTGCTGGAATCTCGCACATGCCCCACCACCTGGCTTTATACGGGGCCATCCTCGGGCCAGCGCTTTACAATCACACAGTGCCGAGATTACGCCAGGACGCTGTGCAGACTAGGCAAGCCCTGTACTAACAGAGCCACCTACGCCCCAAGCTGTGAGACCGTGTGCTTTAATGTCCTCCTTGTAAGTGTAGGAAAGGACTTTCAGAACCACACAGCAGGGGACAGAAGCATCAAGAGCTCGAGTCTCTGAAACACAGAAGCAGGCTGCTTTATCCAGAGGCTTAGAGGCCAGGTCTCGCTGCCCCTCACCCTCTTTCTCCTCTCTATCCTGCCCAGCTCTGCTTAACTAAACCCTATTTCCTCTTCAGACCTTGACCCAGACATCACTTTATCCAGAAAGCGTGTCCTGGCTCCTCGTGAGCCACTGAGAAAGTTCTCTCTCCAAACCCTTGGAGGTTACCGCACCGTAGCTGCCTGTCTTCCATGGCGTAAAGGAGCTAAGGACAAAGGCTGCATCCCCCTTGTTCACTGTATCCCTACCAACTACCATGACACCTGACAGAAATACCGTCTACAGCACAGACGAACAGACTGGAGTAACCGGCTCCACCCCACTGTACGCACACTTTGTTGCGTGTGTATGTGCACACACAGCGTGATGTGACTTTTGCATTGAAGTGCTGGTTATTCAGATATGGAACCCCAGAATTTAGAAGCACTGATGGCTTCGATAGCGATTTTTTTCTGTCCGTCTGAAATATCCTTAAATGTCATAGCCGCCAAATGGAACGCTGCTCATTTTGGCCTTCTGCAGCCTTGACATCATCCTTTTATCAGTGACCTGCTAACTTCACAATGAACCAGACGAAGGCTCCCATGCTGAGTGCCCCTCATGGGCAAAAGTAAAGGAGGGTGTGGATACATTAAAACCGTTTATCTACCAAACCCACGCTGACCCTCCGTAACCTCCAGACAACGCACATCATCTTAAAATCCTTGCAGGTCACCTGGGCTGACCTGCGGAGGAGCAAGCCAAGAATGCTCATTAAGGCTCAATTATAAATATCTGTGGGTGCGCGCCACCGAATGGGAGGCCAGGCAAGAGAGGCTCTCACGGTCCAACAATAAGCTCGCTTGTGGGAGACTGGGAGGTGGTTCTCAATGTACTGAGCTTAGGGATTTTTGTGGACATCCTGTTTTATCTGGTTCTAAAATTCCTACTACTGTGTAAGCATAATCAAGGAGTTCTTCCAACTGAAGAGGCGTGGTGAGCTGCCTGTCATCCCAGTACCAGGGAGGTGGAGATGGCTCAGCGTCCCCCATACAATCCTGTGGACATGAGTTTGGATGCCCAGAAAAGCATGGCAGCCTGTGCTTACAAGGCCAGCCCTGGGGCTCACTGGCTAGCCAGCGTGGCTAAAGACATGAGCTACACTTACAGCCAGCAAGTAAGATGACTTCTGAAGATGACTTCTCACATCTACACAGTATGTATGCATACTTACACACACTAACGAACGAACAAACAAAACAAAAATCCTGTTTTGAGTCCCAGAGAAAGGAAGGAGAATAATTTAAAAGGCAAAGAGCCTTCCATCTGGTTTTCTCCTTGATCATCTTCATAACCCCAGACAATGATGACTTAGAGGCACTCTTTTAACTGACAAGATAATTAAACTCAAAGGCCAAGGACTTGTCCTTGGGCCAACCAGAGCTACGTTGAAGCTGGGAGCAGCAGCCAGGGCCAAGCCTTTAGGACTTGGCCTAAAGGACAAGCCTTTAGGCGCTCAAGGTCCTGTACTTGGGAGCACAGCTTGGGGGATGGGGTTGAAATGACTGTGGGAAGACGGTGAGGCTGGTTAAGCTGGTTAGCGTGCCAGCGGCAGCCGTGTCTGGCTCCCGGAGCTGCCTTTCCACCACCGCCACCCACAACCTCGCAGCCAGTTTTCCACAGAACTTTTCAAAGGCCGAAAGGGAAGAAGCTGTTGTGACAGCAGATAAGTGCTTTCCCCAAGGCATTCTATCCCAAACCATCTGCTCTGGAAAATCCAAATGGGGACCAAATGGAGAGCCTTCCTTTCCCACACGCTGCTGTGCCCTCCCAATGAAAGGGGTGACCACTGGATGAGCGCTTCATCCCCTAGACAAGAGTTTGCAGGCTCACTTTGGCCACCGCAGAACTTCCAACCTGGCAGAGACAGATGTGTTTTGTACTAGGTAGGCACTTACATATTGGAGGATTATAGCCAGAGGGTTTCGCTGTATATTCAAAACAGGCTTTAACCTTGAGGCTGCATGAAATCAAACACATTATTTCTTAAAAGATGCACTGTGGCAGCAGAAAATCCCCACCCTGTCCCCAGCCCTCCAATGTCCACTCCGCCCACTGATGAGGAGATGGTATGTTCACCGAACAGCATTCCACCAGTCCCTCTGTCCGGCACACCCTGAGCCTGCCTTAAGGCTCATCAGGTCAAAGTGGGTCATCCCCAAACTGAGAGCGGAGCCAGCCCCTGGGATCACAAAAGGGACTCACCATATCCCACTAGGTGACCCACACATGGACTTCTGGCGGAGGTCAATTCTATTAGGGGTCACCGTGATGGTTTTCAGAATGTTAATCACTGGCCGGGATCTGAAGACAAAAGGAGCAAAGAGCAAGCTAAGCCTTTTGTTATCTTTTGAGTCATTCACACAGTAGACAGTATTTGCAGCAGCTCAGGAAAACGAGTATGTGCAGGTGTGAGTTCTTGCCCTACTGGGGACAAATCGAAGAACTAATGGATACAGACTTAACGTATACAATATTTAAAGCTGTACTGTAAACAACAGCAGACTTCATGCATGCCATGTCTCCCAGCAAACACTCTCTTTCTCCATTATAATACACCCACACCCAGGTAGTCTTGTGCGTTCTCTTTTCAGACACGCTATCTGTCTACGTTTCTGTTACAAATACAGCCTACTGTCAAATGTGAAAATGTAGTTTCAACTAAACAGGAGATTTCTGTGTTACCTGTCCTCTGTGGAGCTATGTTTCATTCCTTAACATGGGGGGGGGGGGCGCTCCTCCTAGCGCATACAGATGACGGGTCGTATTTATGGGATAAGGAATTAGCCTAACAACAATAATGTCCTGGCCTCTGTGTAATCAGTGGTCACCAGCAGCCATGCTAACAGTCATACTAACCACACAGAAACCTGTGCTTAGAGCTTACTTAGAGATAAATCCCCAGAAGCAGAACCCCCAAGTCAAAGAACAAGTGTGTTCAGAGCGTTGCTGTGTTCAGGATGCAGAGGCAGGAGGGCTGCCATATGCCCAAGGCTAGTCTGGCCTACATATGGAGTTCCAGGCCAGCTAAGGTTATACAGCAAGAACCTGCCTCACTATATGAATAAACAAATATTCTTTGTTTTACTTAAGTTTTCAAAACATACGTATACAGAAGCGTTCAAAACAGCCAGGCATAATGGCACATGTTTGTGATTCTAGCACGTGAGGGTGCTTAGGCAGAAGGACTACAAATCTGAGGACTTCCTGGACTATCTAAGTTCAAGGCCAGCCAGTGCTTCATAGTGAGGCCCTGTCTCAAACAACATACACATAAAATAAATTGAACATCCCATCTTGGTGGCACAGTCCCAGGTACTCTGGAGGATGAGGCAAACTTAAAGCTTGCTTACACACGCACACACGCACGCACTCACACACACAGTGATCTCTGGTAAATAGTGTATAATGTGCAAAATCAGGATAAACATTAATTTCAACACAAACCATTTTTCTGGCGGCAACATTCAAAATCCTCCTAGCTTTTAAAAATACACAATACATCACCTTGACCCAATCACCCACCCTACTGTGCAGTGGCTCCTGACTAAGACTACTCGAGAATCTATCTCTCTTCCCCCTCTCCCTCCCAGACTCCCACCCCAATGGTAACCACCATTCATTTCTCAACTGTTGTTGAGTTCAATGATTTTTAGATACCAAGGGTGAGTGACGTCACGTGACACTTGGTCTTTCTGCGCCTGGCTTGTTTCACTTAACACAGCGATCTCCAATTCCATCATGCTGTCACAGATGACAGGATTTTATTGTCATGGCTGAACTATGTTTCACCGTGCATATGTACACTTTCTTTATCCATTGGCTGATGCTTAGGTTCTTTCTAATAATGCTGCAATAAACACGGAAGCATAGATGTCTCTTGCAACATTCGTTGCACTTCCTTAGCTGATGTATCTGCAGGGTCACAGGGTAGATCTTTTACTTATTAAGAAACAACCTGCACATTGCTTTCCACAATGATGGATCTAATTTAAATTTCCACCAACATAAGCATTTCCTTTTTTCTACATCCTTGCCAGTACTCATTATGTCTGTCTTTCTGGTATAAGTTATTTGTTCTGGAGTGTGTTAACAGGTGATTTTAATTATACATATTTTAATGATAATTATAATAACCTCCAAAGATTTATACCAAGAGGTGCCTAACACTTGGCTGTTCTCAGGTATCTTCCCTGTAAGACTGCCAATCCTGAACTACTGAGTCTCCCTCTTACAAACATTTGACCCTCTTTACCTGTTGGAATCTTTCATTCCTAACCTTAAGAATAGACTAACATCTGGATATGGTGGCACACATTTGGTATCTTAGCAATTGGGAGGTCGAGGCAGAAGGTTTGAGTTCAAAGCCACCTTGGTCACATAGTAAAACTTTGTCTAAAAAAGAAAAAACAAACAAACAAAAAAACAAAAAAACCTCCCCAGTAACAGATACCTGAACCCACCATTCCCCATCTCCACTGTGCTCCAAGCCCATAAACAATATTCTAAGTCTTACCCTTTGGCTCTGTTCATTACATGAAAATGCCTTTTCTCCCCTTATGCTGTTCCCAGGATGTGGGGAGACAAAGAAAGATACCAGAGGCCTCTGGCCTGAGCCTGTCATAGCCACAGAGAACACCAGAACTTGGTGGCTGTATGCTTGGGGGGAGAGAGGCACGCTGGGGAGATCCTGGCCCCTCTCATCTTCCCTGCTCCAGAACTAAGAGTGAGGGTACAGTTTCACTACCATGAGGATCCAGTTGGGGCTTTGGTGAGCTTGTAGTAAACGCCAGCATCCCGAAGAACACATTTTTAATAGGAAAATGTCTTCCAAAGCCCAGATAGCTATCTCAACCTTCTGGAATCCATCTCCTGGTAGCTGGAGAGGGAACAAGCCCACCTATGGGGAAGGCAGCCACCAGGAACAGAGTGAATACTCCCACAGTCTCCATTTCTCCCCTTTCCTTCATTTATCCTCCTGTTTCTACTGCACATTCAGGCAGCTGTGGATTTCCAGGACACTAACTAATCGCATTCTTGAGTTTTGACAATGTTCTCAGAGAGTTAACCTGTATCTTCATCTTCCCACTCCTCTTTCATCCTGGGCGCCATGGGATCTAATCGAGCATAGTAATGTCACCTCTGACCCTGCCCTGTGTCTTGCTTAAGAACTCCTTTGGGTTCCAGTTTTCCTGACAGAGGGAGGTAAGGCCCTTCCTTAAAGAGAGAGCAACCTGGGCTGAAGAGATGGCACAGCGGTTAAGAGCACTGTGGCCTCTTTCCAGAGGACCTGAGTTCAATTCTCAGCATCCACATGACACTCTTACACATACATGCAGGCAGAACACCAACACACATAAAAAATAAATAAATCTTCGAGAGAGAGCGAGCACAACTTTGGACCTCCTTGATGAACAATACAAAGGGAGGTTTTCCATGCCTGACACTGGACTTTTTGGTAGTCTATTATTACCTCTTTTGACACACTACATATATAATGTGTATGTAATATATGTATATTTATACATAGACACATACACACATGTATAAATAAGACACACATTCACACTTCTTCATAGTATGCTTTTTTGTTTTTTTAAGAGATAGTTTCTCTATGTAGCCTTGGCTATCTTGGACTCACTCTGTATATCAGGCTGACCTCAAACTCACAGAAATCTGCCTGCCTCTGCCTCCCCAGTGCTGGGTTAAAGGCTTGCACCATTATAACCCAGCTTACACTTTATTTTGAGACAGAGTCAAGGCCAGTCCAAGGCTGGCCTTGAACTCACATACATCCACCTGCCTCCGCCTTCCAAATGCTTGCATACATATGTATTTTTAAAGTAAGCTTTTAAAATACATTTCCCTATGGAAAAAAAAATCTGTATCTTTTTACTTATTGTATTTACTCATGCATTTTAAGATAAGAAGTTGCTGTATAGGGCTTTGTACATTATAGTATTACTTTGTTAATTAATACACACATTTCAAAATATTTGAACACACCTGGCTGTGAGTCTGCTCTAATTTCCAGTCTTTAAGCATGTAACACATACAGGACACAGCATAGGAGCATGATGGAAAATGTGTTTTTTCACGCACAAGGCAACACTTAATTGGTTTATCTGGTTAAACTCACAAGTACTTGGGAGGTTCAGGCTGGTGGATTGTTTAAGCCAAGGGGTTCGAGGTCATCCTGAGCAGCACAGTGACAGCAAGTCTCGCCAGCAGTGGAAGGGCCCTGTGATGGACTCCTTCTCCCAGGGGGGTTTGGAGGAAGATTATATTTTAGGTGCGCAGGCTGCCTGTCGATCAGGCACTCTTGCCAAGGTCTGTAGGGCAAAAGTAGCACCAAGCCCCCCCGCACGAAGTTTCACTGCACTTTATCGCCCATTTCCCTAAAGGTAATTTTAGGAACTAAAAATGACTCCAAAGCCAACTAGTTTAAAAAGCAAACAAAACGAAACAAAAACCAGATGGGCATGGTGACACACTGCTATAGTGCGAGCACCTTGGAAGAAGCAGAAGAAAGAGTTTTGAGTTTCAGGCCAGGCTGGGTTACAGAGCAAGGCCCTGTCTTAGAAACAGAACAAATAAAAATAGCAAACAAAAAACCCAAACCCAATCGATCAAATGGTTCACTTTCTCCCTCCCTCGCTCTCTCTCTCTCTCTCTCTCTCTCTCTCTCTTTCTCTATATAGCCCTGGCTGTCCTGGAACTCACTCTATAGACCAGGCTGTCCTCAAACTCACAAAGACCTTGTTGTCTCTGTCTCCTGAGTACGGAGATTAAAGGCATGCATACCATGCCCGGCTTTCAAATGGTTCATCTTCAAAGAAAGGTAAATTAATCAAAAGGTAAGATCACTTATCTAACAAAAACTAGATTCATTGTATTTAATACTGTTAAGTCTGTGAGGAAATAACCTCAGTGAATATAAAGAGATACAACTTTTCTGAAAATATATGTATTAAAGCAAGTGATTGCTAGCCTATATCCTATGAACTTTAATTTTTCTTTTAAAAACATCATATAGGGATATATACAATGTCCCCTATCAGATTGCTTTTAATAAAAACTGGACACTACCTGTATTTTCCACCAGTTTAAAAAATTAATTCAGCATGTTCACAACAGGCTACTATTAAGTCATGCTGGGGCACACCTGTAGTGGTCATTGTACCTGTTGATTCTCTTCTTCTACACCACAGAGGACCTGGGGATGGGCCTCAAGTTGCCAAGTTCGGTGCCAGCTGCCTTGACCCACTGAGCCAGCTTGCTGGCCTCATTTTTGTATATTATTTTAAAACCTTGTAGTGCTAGTTGGCCTGGAATTTACTATGTAAGTCAGGCTGGCCTCAACCTCCCAAGTAGTGGGGTTACAGGCATAAGCAGCACATCCGGCTAGACATTAAATTCTTACAAACCAGATTAGGGAACAGCAAGGCCTGTGGTCTTTTACTGATCTTAAAATAATAGTGCTGGGGCTAGAGAGATGGCTTAGGGGTTAAGAGCACTGGCTGCTCTTCCAGAGGTCCCAAGTTCAATTTCCAACAACCACAAGGTGCCTCACGACCATCTATAATGAGATCTGGTGCCCTCTTCTGGCACGCAGGTGTACATGCAAGCAGAACACTGTATACATATAAATTAACAAAAACAATCACAACAAACAGTGCTGCTCAAACCCATTACATCGTTTTGAGGAAGACCAGAATACTTAGGAGCTCGATTTTCTATAAATGTGAATTAACATTAATAACAACAACAAAACCCCAGGACTCTTCTACTTTAAATCAAACTTTCTAAAACGGTGATTGCCAGGAGTAATGGAAACAGCAAAAGAGGCTCCAAGGCATCGGCAGCCCATCTTGCCTGGCTGCAGCCTTTTTGAGGGTTTCTGGGTGAAGCTGAACTAGGTCTTCAAATGCGCACGCAACTTTACTTTCAGAAACAGTGTGAGGAGCTGGCTGTGGGGACGCACATCAGGGAGACATGCTGCGGAAACTTCCTGTCCGGAAGTCATCATGAGCGTGACAAACACAAGGGAATTTACCACTGCTTTCTGTACCGTGGGCTGGAGGAAAGGGAGGCCCTTGAAACTACCAACGACATTGCAGCAGCTGGTTGGATAAAACACTGACTCACTTATCCACAGCTTGTTACCTTCATCCCAGAAAAATACTCAGTGCGAAAGGCAAAGCCTCCTAAGACCACACATGGACCAAAGCAGGTTACAGACAATTTGTACATGAAGAACTATTTATGTATGCGCATGGGATATAGAAGATCAGAAACATTAAAAAAAAAAAAACAAAACCCAATTTTTGGAGTTTAATAATGGATGGGAAAGCAGATTGAAACAAAAAGAAAAAATATGACGAAGAATAACAGATTTTCTTCTTTATGTGTGCTGCTTTTTTTTTTAAATATTTTTATTTATGTATATGAATGCTCTATCTTCATGTACGCCTACACGCCAGAAGAGAGCATCAGATCCTAATATAGATGGTTGTGAGACACCACGTAGTTGCCAGGAATGGATCTCGGGGCCTCTGGAAGAGCAGCCAAGTGCTCCTAACCACTGAGCCATCTCCTCAGCCCCGTGTGCTGCATTTTCATCAGAAGGAAAGTTGCTTTTTAAAACTGCTTCGCTTCTCTTCGTACACATGTGCGCATGTGTGTAGGTACTAGTGTAGGCATCCGTGCACGTGGAGAACGAACACTGACTGTGAGTGACTCAGAGATTCCTTGCTCACGCTTCCTCCTCCGCTGTATTCATTGAGGCAGAATCTCTCAAGTAAACCCAGAGCCACCGAAACGCTGGTCCCCCTAGCTGGCTGGTTTCAGGAATCCCTTCCAGGGCTGGAATTACAGAAGGGCCACCACCCCTGCCCAGCACTGCCAGGCAAGTGCCTGGATGCCCTGAGCCATCTTCCCAAGCCTCTCAAAAAATAGGTTTTGAAGACGTACCTAGGAAGCAGAACTTTCCATGAATTCTGACACATTTTTACCGCCAATTAGTTCAGTATTAGCGAGATTTTTACATAATTATCATCATCTATTATTATACCCCATCAAAAGAAAAAAATGTTCAAATTCATATAAGCATTTGCCTCAAAAACAAAAACAAAAAAAAAACCCAAAACATTAGTTAGTGTAAGATCATTTTGAAGCTTGTTTCTAAGTGAAACACAGCACACACCTGAAAATGGTCACTGAGTCTGAGAGGGAGCCAACAGCAACATCAGGGTAGGAGTTCCTATCCAGGTCCATGTTCCCAGCAATCGAATATCCAAAGTAAGGCGATGTACCCTCAAGGACCTGGAACACACAGGCCGTTAGGATGAACGCTGGGCCAGTAACAGAGCTGGCTAGCTACCCTTTCAGAAAAGCACAAAAGCGCTCAATGGTAGGCACAGCCCTCACTCGGCACAAACAAAGCGGGGCTGAGATCCCTGTCACCACAAGCAGTGAAAAAGGAAATAAGAGAAAGAGAAAAAGTTTATTCTGAGCAAAAGTTTCAGTTCATTTACAAACAAATTACGTTACATTATAAATGCACGGTATCTAGTACTTTGTACGTTTTGTTTCATGAAAGCCATCTGATTCATACTGTATTCCAAAGGATGAAGCCTCGTTTATATTTATTAAGCTAATCAGTGTAGTTTAAAACCAAATCTAACTGTCCTCCCCTCTCCCCCCAAAAAAGTCTTATTTTCAAAACCAGTTAGACGTTTTGGTGTCCGAATTCTCTGTGTAAATTACAGTCTTGCACTTGCGTGCTCAATTCCACTGAGCACGCTGCAAGGGAAATGAAGCACAGGCCACCCCTCCCCCTCTCGGGATAGACCGGTCTTCACTCTGGGTTACACTGTGTCATTTCGTCTGTGTAAGTGTGTCAAAGCCATCTTCCAGTGATACTCTGCAATTCACACTGGGTTTGAAAGATGGCTCAGTGGTTAGGAACTCCGACTGCTCTCCCAGGACACTAGTGCTAATTCCAGCATCTGCAACAGCGGGCTCACAACCACCTGTAACTCTAGCTCCAGGGGATCTGACACTTCTAGCCTCCTGAGTCCTTCTGGGTCACACACACACACACACACACACACACACACACACACACCAACACTAACACTGTTGTATACTTGAAACTGAAATATGGGTGAACATTTACTTAACCCTACAGTTTACACTATTGTAGAGAGGTTGTTTGGTTACCTGTGTTGGTTTGGTAATTATGCCAGTTGGGGATCCGTGATAGATGAAAACCTTCCCCAGATCATCGTAGGGAGCTCCAACAGCGATATCTGTTGACATCACATTTAAAAAGAAAGTTATCATTTACGAAATACTCCGGCGTCTCCAAGTAAGATGCCATATGCGCTCACTAGTTACCTGACCAACTGACCTAGGAATGGTGGCCGTTTCACAATCTGTTACCCACCTGGATAGCCGTCTTGATTGATGTCGCCGATATTCTTTACCGCAATTCCGAACATGGAATCTTTGGTCCCGTTAAGGCGAACTGGCTTCACGTTGCGCCATCTGCCTTGCTGATTAATGTAGACGTACACCGCACCCCCAACTTCCCCGTCTCTGTCAAAATACTGTGGGGCTCCGATAATGATGTCTTGCCACCTGAAAACAGAACAAAGAGAAGAGCTGGGAACCTCGGCCTAAGATGCCAACGGGCTTAGGAAAATGGCTTAGGAAAACACACAAACTCGATAGACAGGGCCTCAAACCAAGGACTTACACCTCATCAATTAAAACACTCAACAGGAGTGAGAAACCAGGGAAAGCAGCGAAAGTGGCGACTCAAAGGCAGTTTCTTGAGTCAGAGAACGGTACAGGAGGACTTCCAACAAGGTCCTGCTGTTCCGTTACCATTTCTAGCAGGCACCAAGAGCTGAGTCCTCCGGGTACGGGCATGGCCACCACTTCCCACTTGATGTCAGACACCCTGAATGCCCCAACAGTTCCCCAAACCCCAGTCCCCCCACCAGGAAACCACAGTACAGTTGTGTAGCTAATGCCATCTTCTGAGTGAATTTTTCCTCCAAATTTAAATTCTCAAGAAACTACGATCCCCAAACTCAAGGTAACCCTGTGCCACTGGGAGGATAACAAATCTCAGCTGTCATGAAGGACGAGGGTGGGGCGGTAAACATATTTTTTAATCGGCTAATCTGCAGTCCCACAGAAGCCAGTCAGCAGCAACAGCAGCCGCATAAACGCGCTTACCCATCTGCGTTGAGGTCCACCACAGCCACGTCATAGCCAAAGGAGGAAGCCAGGCCCTCTCCATCAAATATATACTCAGGGAGAAGATGTGCGGACTTCATGTCTCTTTTGAGCAAAACCACAGCCCCGCTGTGATTGGCTCTTGGGGCACCAGATACAAAAGTGATGTCATCTTTAGAAACAATGCCCTTCCCCGAGTCCAACGAAAAGCCTGGAGAAACAACATCAACCCTGAACTTCGAGGGCGACACTCAAGAGGCAGATTCCACTATTATCTTCCCCTCCGCATCCCCACCCTGCTCTTCTCCTGGCCCTCCCACCTGCTTTCACGTTTACCATAGGAGTCACTGTGCTAAGGGACTTGATGGCTGTTTTGCTGCTTTCTATGGACATCAAGACTTCTTACAGAACAGTTTCATGCTTTTTAGCACGTGTGTGACTTGGATTACAAAGTAGTCACACTTCTTAAGAACCAATTCACACCCTATTCTGATATTAAAAGGAAGAGTGGGCTGGGTATTGGCGTCCCCTGGGAATGAACGCTACACCAAATGCTCACCAAGTGTCAGTTACAGGGCTCTGCGCTGACCGTGGTTTACACGAACAGCGTCTATTCCTGGCAGTCTAGTGGGCAATCAGGCAAGAGCGAACGTCAACACTGCTAACACAACCCAGGTAGCATCTCGTCACTTTGGACGAACTCAGACACAAACATGCAAACAGAACCATGCGTGGTGATTCAGCCATTTGAGAACCTCACATCAACAACAGGGGTGAGTCAGCTGTCAAGCTTGGGTCGGCTACATGCTGCTCAGAGGGTGGGCAATATTGGGACGTCCAATTATAAGGCACGGAGCAGCACTTTGGGCGACAGACAAGAGTTTGCTAGAAGAGTGTCCATCGCTTAAACTTCTCTCTCTTTAAAAGAGGCAGGCGCAGAACACCACCAAGTTTCCCTCCTTTTTTTTTTGGGGGGGGGGTTCTGTTTATAAGAAGCGTCAGCACTACTGTTGTGGTTCTCAAATTGTGAGGTGAATTGAAAAATATGATGAGCCCCAAGATTACAGCAAGGCGATCTAATTGAACCCAGTGCTGAAAAGCGTCTGGCAGCTGAGCTCAACCATGGCATGCTTTTTGTATGTGTTTCACTTGAAATGAGATAGAAAATAAGATTTATGCTCTGTATGGATAAAAAAAAAAAATTTTTTTTTTAAAAATGACCATGACCAAGGCAATTTATTTGTCATCGGAGAGGTCACAAACCTAGGTAGCTATTCATCATCACATCAGGGAATGTGTCAGGCCGCTCCCTGGGAGGCCGTGTTTTATAAACAAACTGATCAGGATCTGTATAGGAAATGCTGGTCAAAAACAGCAGGCCTGGATGCGTGCACGGGGCAGGAGAGACGGAAGAAAAACGATTACACTTGGTAAGAGGCCGAACTGCGGCGCCCCTTGCTAGCTCCTACAGGCTCGGTGGGTCATTACACCCCACACCCACCGACCTTTTAAAATGAGAGCCTCAGGGCACTGACCAGCAACCTGTAACAACACCTCTGACTTCTTTCCGGGACATGGGCTTTGGAGGAAACCCTTTCTGAAATTGGCAGAGGTGTTTGAAAAAAAAAAAAAAAACATTCACATCTCCCTGTGTTCTACCAACAGCTATATTTATAAACCCCAGGGGCATCTGAAAGACCAAACAGTTAATATTAAACACAACCCCATCATAAAATAACCCCTAAATAGAGCGTTTAAAAAAAAGAGAGCCAGCTAGCTGATATGTGCCCAGGGAAAACACTGGTTTGCTGCTGTTTTCCTTGAAGGTCCTTGCCCAGATCCTGCCTTGTCCAGCAAGGATACTATCAGACCCCATGCACCCGGGCGCTGCCCAGACCCATCATGCCTTGGTTGGGGAATTATAACAGTGTGAACTTGAGCTACCGAGTGAAGCTTCCTCGGTACACGCAGGGAGGGCTGGTGACGCACGCACAGCACTGCACACAGCACAGGACTCACGCACAACAACTGTTTAATAAGCAGCTGCTATAAATGCTCTCTTCCCCGAGCTCTTACCAAGCTTGTATGGGCTTGGGAATGGCATATGAATTGAAAAGGGCTTCTTTCTTTTCTTTTAATAAACAGCACTGTCCGTGTGTATCTTCACACAACTAGAATAAGTCACACGTACGTTTCCTCTAGCCTTCTGTTTAGAACTATTTGCTCACCCACACCTGCTTCCCCACCTTTTTTTAAGCCTTCCATTGTTCCAGTGAAATCTCTAGCTCGTGTGTGCGTCCCACCCCCACCATTTTTTTAAAAATAGGTTACTCTGTAGGTTTAGAAGATTTCTTACATTTTTTTCCAAGAAATGTACAGTAATTATTCTTTATGTCAACTCGCACCAAGAATTAAAGCTTTTAAAAGCCTTTGTGTAATTACCATAATGCGCAGGAATAATTTAGGACACCATTAGTAATGCAAACAAGCCTAGGGAGTTAAGGAATTGGCACTTAGACCCAGTCTGGGTGTTCTCCACACTGCGTTAGCAGGTCCTGCTTGGCCTCGTCTGGGGAGCCCTGTGCCGCCCACTGGGCCCTCTGACATGGAGCCCCGATCCAGTCGCAGGGCCAGGCCTTCGAGAATGGCAATCACCAAAGAAGGACCCTGAAGTCCCGACCCACCACTTAAAAGTAACTTTGTGAGCAAAGCTCTTAAGTGTTCGTCTAAAAGAGGCCCTGCACAAAGGAGGTGAAGGTCCGCTCCGAACATCCGGACGCTTCCTCATGGCTTCACAAAGGGCTCGCTGCAGGCTACGCAGGCTGTCATCAGCTCACAGGACACAGCTCCTTGATGGGAGGGAGCATGATTTTGGCATGATTTTGCCAAATAATGGCAGATTTTGCCCCACTCTGCAGAAGCTCAGGCCAGAGAGTTCGCCTGCAGGCGGCCTGCTTTCACATCTCCGTGTGTATCAAGCTGAGGCAAATGCTGAGAGGCCCCTGGCTCCCGCCTGGCCTATCTCAGCCTGTGGGCTCTCAGGAGGAGCCTCCCACAGTGCCTGAGAAGGCAGGTATGGTATCTCTGCTCGCGCCTACCTAGATAACTGTTGGCAGGAACGGGCACGAGGCTTTCATCATGGTCAGTCTCTCCGCCAACCTCATAGGGCCCGTCTTCAAAGATGTTCATGTCAAAAAAAGTGTTATTCTTTTGCTCTACACGGACGATCCCTAAAGGAATGGGATGGAAAAAACAACAACAACAACAAAATAAAATAAAGATGAAACGAAACAAAACAAGATGGTTCTAAACGCCCTTGCATCAAGGAGAACAGAAAGAGAAATTTGGAAGGAGAGACAGAGATGAGAGAGATGATGTTTAAGATTGTTCAACATAGTCACCTGAGTTTTTATGTGAAAGGAATTTGTTCTAGGAATCTTAAAAATCACCCATGAATTCTAATGAACTCTCCTTTGGAAGGTTAGATAGAAAATGGGATGTTTGTTTAGTCACAAAAATCTACAGAAAACTAAATTTGAATGACATGAACATGAAATAAACGATTACTGTCTTCCATAATTCCCTATCAAGTTTCCCTTTCTGCAAAGTGAAACTAATATATCCATCTCTTCAAACTGCTTTAATGAAAATTTCATCTTTTCAAAATTCCCTAATTCTTTAAAACACTTCAGCGGACTGAAACCCAAATCACAACATGACCTTTTCAAAGTGACATTTTAAGTCAGTGTTGGTAAGTCACCTGACTGGTGGGTGTTTTTACCGTTCTGTTTTATAATATAATGGCCTCTGCAACTGCCAAAATAAAACTCCTTCTAAATACAAAATGTTCTTTCAGCGAGGTCAAATGGGTTTGGTTATATGAGAAGTTCTGTCAGAGATATAAGTGTGGACAAAGGAAATAACTTCCCAGTGTCATAAGGAATGACCCACAGGGATCTCAAGAACCATTTTTAATCACAGTTGAAACTAGGGATGTGTGTGTGTGTGTGTGACACAGGAGAGTGATTAAGGCCAGAAATTTACACATTTGAGGCAAACCCTATATATCAGGCTACACCCCTGCTCTTTTCAAAATTAAATTGTTTTAATAGAATTTTTTAATTGAATGTATGGGTGTATATGCATGTACACACACACACACACACACACACACACACACACACACACACACACGTCAGCAGAGTCCAGGAGAGGGTGCTGGATTCCCTGGAGGTGCAATTACAGGCAGTTGTGAGCTGGAAACCACACTGGGCTCTCTGCAAACACTGGGCCACCTCCTGCTTCCTCAGCCCCCAGCACAATGCTTTAATCTGAGACAGGATCTTTATAAAGTACCGAGGCTAGCCTTGTGCTTTTGGCTTTCATGCCTCAACCTTCAATGTGGTAATCTCATCCTGGCTTGTGCAAAAATTATAATTTATCTTTATTTCTATATAGCCGTTTGCTATCTACCTCCTATACACAGTTTCAGAGAAACTGATGTTTATTAAAGAAATTGACCAGATTCATCTGGTCACAAAATGTGGGTCATTTTCCTTCCTCCTTCCCAGTGTCTCCTTTTCTCAGCACAGTATCTCTCTGTTAACCAACCCTACCCTCAGACTGCCTCCAATTCTTGCCTCAGAATGCCGCACCTGGCAGTCACCTGCTCTCTTAGCTCTCCGTGTTATCGGTAGAACATGCCTTTCCACGATAACACACAATGGAACGCCCATGTTAGCAGAGCTCTTTACTTCAACTCAGTGTTCACATCACCCCATTAAATGAACACTTTCACCTTTAATTAACAAATACAAGACAGAAAAACAAATCCTATTTATCATTATTATTATTTTGGAATTTCGAGACAGGGTTTCTCTGTGTAGCCTTGGCTGTCCTGGACTTGCTTTCTAGACCAGGCTGGCCTTGACCTCACAAAAATCTGCCTGCCTCTACCTCCCAAGTACTGGGATGACAGGAATACAACACCACATCTGGCAATTATTATATTCTTAGAGAAAAAAAAAAATTAACCACTTCCAGTAATTAAAAACACCAGCAGAAGGAAAAAGCCTCAACCCTAAAATATTTGCATTACTGTTAAAATTCACAGTAGAGATTTTAATATCCCACTCCCTTTAATAAAGAAACACCTTACAGCCCATTTAAAGGCACTAAACTGTGCTTGCGGCATCCTGTAGAAACTTTGTTGATATTCTAACGTGGTTTTGTAAATACAGAGGTCATACCTTTCCAGTTGTAAGTACCGGGAGCTCCAAACACAATGTAGTGAAAGTCTTTAGTGAAAGTAGCTGCTACCCCTTGCTGACAAGAACCAAATTTTTCATGACCTCTCAATCGGCCGTCACAGAAACTCCAGTCTCCTCCATCCATATCGTCTTCAATCTTGAGATTCTGGCTCAGGACGTAACACCTTCCGAAGATGTCCCTGGACTCCTGCTTTGTGTTAACGTGCTGCCTTTTCTCATATCTGTGTGCACACGTCTGCAGACAAGTGGCAGTGGTAAAACTTCATAGAACTGGGGCACTTAGCAATAATAAAGAGGTTTAACCATCATCTAAAGAGGATGATTAAGTGTGTCTCCATCCTGGGAGAGGATCCCAAAGCAAACCAAGTCCCCCACTCCCCCACCCAAAGAGACCATCAACAAGACAGAGCCCTATTCCACAGGCGATTCACCTGTAAATTCACCTGTCACATAGACAAAGGCGACACCAACTCACTGCATTTTCTTAATTTAATGGGCTCTTAGTAGCTATAAATAACTATGTCCTAGACAGAAGCAGGGACATATTTTCTTAGGAGATAAAGCAAACACAGCTAAAGCAAAGACATTTTCTTCCTACCAGTCCCATCTCCTTGCAGTGAGTGCACTCAGACTATTCCCTGTCACTAAAAGGCAGAATTACCCCGTCAAGAAAGACAGAATAGTCTCCGTTTTCTACAGGGTCTTCATGACTTCCTTCCATGTAGCCTAGTCTGGGTGCCTGAGGACAGTATACCTAAGCCCATTTTACATACTGTGTAAGAACTCAGTGTTCACTAAGACTCTCCTTTTTCTCAAGCATCTGCACAAATTTTATTGTAGCAACCAGACTGAATGAGACAAAAAGAGTGCCATATTCTAACCTGAAGTGTCTCCAGGCCAGTCTGCCCAGTGAGCTGCCTTCTAGCTGAAGAGGCATGGTAAACAAGAGTAAAACTGGTGTCTTTGTTCACGGTCATTCCCGTGGTTTGCAATAACTTTGTCTATAAAACTAATTTTTTATAGACAAAAGATAATTTTGTCTATTAAAAACTTCCTAGGGTAGAAACTGTCTAGTTTGGCTTTGCTTTTGTTTGTTTGTTTGTTTGTTTTTGTCTGAAGAGCAGCTGTAATAACAATGATTATAACAATGATTACAAAGGCCACGCAACAGATCAGCAGCTAGTTTTAGGGATATTCAGAAAATGTTTATTTATTAAGTTCTTTGGATCTGGATGTTCTAAAGACACACAGGCTTCACAACCAATCCATAGTCTATCAGGCATCAGGCTTTAGCTTATTCTTGGCACCAGGACATGTGTTAGAACATGGCGTTTGTTGCTCAAGGGTAAATGGAGGCAGGATGTTGCTCTGTTGTGTCCATTGCTGTGAGCCCATAATCAGCCAACACTGAGGAGGAGGATGCGCCTTTCTACACTTACCACCACTTTGCCACCTGGACCTTGGCTCTGGACAGTGACTCCCATCCACTGGTCTTCCTTGCTTTCTGACATAGGATCAGCTGCAGAGGCAACATGGCCAGTTAGTACAGGATTGACTGAAAAACTATACAAACCAACAGGGCAACAAAACCGTAAGAAGCTGTTTTCAAACTTCCTGGACTCCAAGCCCAGATACTGAGGAAACTCAGTTAATATAGGACATTGATTTCTTATCTCAAGGATACAGAGAAAGAGTTGAGTGAATCTTTCATAAAATTTCTACACATAAGACATTTGAAAATGCTGTAACTCAGGCTGGAGAGATGGCTCAGAGGTTAAGAGCACTGGTTGCTCTCCCAGAGGTCCTGAGTTCAATTCCCAGCAACCACATGGTGGCTCACAACCATCTATAATGAGATCTGGTGCCCTCTTCTGATGTGAAGGTATATATGCAGATATTGTATACATAATAAATAAATAAATTAAAAAAAAAAAAAGAAAATGCTGTAACTCTGACGAAGCATTGTAAAAACAGCACCTAAACTAACAGAAAATGGGTGCTGCTCCATTCACACCTCAAATTTGTATAGAAACAATGTGAACTCTTCTTAGATGGAGATAGGAAGAGAGAGAGAAAGCACAGAAATATCACCATGTACTCATTTCATTATCAATTTAAATCTACTATAAAATCTGTATTTTTGCTTTCCTTAATGAGAATCAAAACATTAAAGTGATGTTTAGATACTAAGATTAGTGACATTCTGCCTTTTTTTCTTTATTTTACTTTATTTTATTTGAGACAGGGTTTCTCTGTGTAGCTTTGGCTGTCCTGGACTCACTTTGTAGACCAGGCTGGCTTCAAACTCACAGAGATCCACCTGCCTCTGTCTCTCCAGGTGCTGGGATTCTTCATTTATAGATAGAGGTATATAGACTCTATATCTATATATCTGTGTATTTATAAGTTTTCTGCAGTAAGTCCGTAGTATTTCCTAATCAATATGGATACAGATGAGAGTGTGAGCCCGAGCCTGCATGTCTACTTAGGCCAATAACAACTCTGGTTTTTTGCAAGCTTCTTGTGACACTAATGGCTCTGTCCAATCTACAGGAAAGCATGTAAATTAGCTGGTGGCATATATGGACTCCATTACAGTATCTTCCAGCTACCCTGAGGCTTCACAAAGTGGGATATTAAAATAAAAGGAAAAGACGGGCACAGTGGCTCATGCCTGTAATCCCAGCACTCCGGGAGGCAGAGGCAGGTGGATCTCTGTGAGTTCAAGGCCAGCTTGGTCTACAAATTGAGTCCAGGACAGCCAAAGCTACACAGAGAAACCCTGTCTCAAAAAACCAAGAATAAGCAAGCAAACAAACAGATGGGAAATAAGCCTGTCTCTGAGAAACAGCAGCTTTAGCTGGGTACGAGCCTGGTGTTTAGAAGACTCTTTGTTAGAACAGTGACACATTACATTTGATAAGTATATGGACTCCTGATACTGGCCCCTCCTGAAGTTTCCTGAAAAATTTTTTGACTGCCACACTAACTTATCAATTCATGTATCACAGTCTATTGGGAAGAGTTTATTTGTACTCTCATGCTTAAAAATTCTCCAGGGCCAGAGATGACGCTTGATTAGGATGCACAGGGCAGCATCGTCACAAGAACAGACTCAATGAATACTTGAATAAAATAAATAATATATAATAATATAAATAAATAATAAAGAGCAGACAAAAGAGTGTTTCTCCCCACTATTTTAATGGCAGGTAATGTTTTGACTGCTCGATAGGCACATTCAACAATTTTGCAACAGTCTCAACATACCACTAGGTGGCAACATACACACACCATTTTAGTTAAACTGGGCTTAAACAGAGGCAGCAAATTGGCCTGCTTCGGTGTGATTTAGAAAGTAAGTATTTTTAGGACAAACAAAAAAGAAAAAAAAAAGGCCAAGACTGACAAAATTAAGAGCGTTCCTTCTCTGCAGGAATAAATGTCCGTATCTCGTGCCCTTGCTCGTGGCAGGTGAAGCATGGTACAGGCAGGCTGGCCCGATACACACAGCGGGGGCAGAACGCACCATCGTTATCAAATTCAATCCGTGTGCAAGGTCCCCGAGAGGTGATGTCACAGCTGTACAGGCCCCCTGTTCTGTTCGCCCTCTGCATAGGAAGTGCTTCTGCCCGAGGCGCCCCCACAAGCAACCTGGAGATAGAACAGAAAGAATTTAAGGACTTGAATGTGAGGTATTTACCCGCCTAGCCAGGACCCAGGGCTGCGGGCACCAGTTACTCTCTGCCAGGAAGCCCTCTAATTCCTCTGAGGCTGCGGAGCAGGCGAGAGCGACGGTGGAGGCCCCCATGCTCTCACAGCACAGGCCTCCCCTGAGGTGGAATGACGGACACACAAAAGGGAGAACGAGTGAGCCTGTCTCTCTCAGAATTGGCAGTGGTAGCTAGCTGGGAGCAATTCTGGTACCCATCAGAGAACACTCACAAGACAGGAGACTCAACGGTATAATTCGCACTTCCAACTTACGGTGGGAAGCAGCCCCCGTGAGCCATCTCATGGCCCATGTCAGTTTCCAACCCTGGAAACCCCGCCCCCACTGGACCACACCTATCTTTGCAGCAGTTTACCTACAGATTCAGACTACAGTTCTCACAGACTCAGCCTGTCTCCCCTGCCCCCCCTTCCTCTTCAGCTTCATTGAGGATGTAACTGACAAGGGGTAAGTGTATTTATTTAAAGTGCAGTATTTGATGTCTTGTCCCACTCAGTCTCCTACAAAGCACGTGGGATGCAATGCCAGCTTCCAGTGAAATCTATTCTCCGCCCCTACCCCAGATTTCCCCTGAGGAGTGGCTCCTAAGCCAAACTCAGGATCCTCAAAGCTCCGTTATTTCACCGGCAGAGGAGCTAGCTCACTGTCGGCTTAGGGTGAGGGTGAGGGTTGGGGTGGGCTTGACTAAGGAGACAAACACCCAACCCTCTGTGTGAAAGAAACAAGCACCATCTGACCATTGCTACCTCCTCCTTGCTGGGACGGTTCCAGTAAAGGAGCAGCGAACTAACCATACAACCAGGAGAAACAGCAGTGCCTTCCTGCTGTGAGGACAAGCGGCTGCCCTTCCTCCCAGAAACCCCACCCCAGCCCCAGGTCGTTACCATTCCAGCTTCTACCTCCAAGTCTATCCTTCACCAAGACCCAGAACTCAAGTGGAGACTTAGGGGAGCAGTTGTCCTCTGCATAGGCCCACCATGTACCTATTTGAGTGTCGCTGTCTCCATTCCCAGGAGCGCCCCAATACCTGAGAGATGAGATGGCCTAGACTGTGCAGTGAGTGGTTTAGATGCTTGGCACATTTCGGGGCGGCCCTGCGCTGCGCAGCTGGAGAAACAAGCAATGAGCTGAGCCAGGGGCACAAAGGAAAGCTGAGGAGCCCACACCTACTGATGTGACAGAGGTTAATTAGGAAGCCGTTGGGACTCACAGCTAGGTGCCAGCCAGGACAAGAATCACCCAGAAACAGTCTCTCTGTCCCTGCAGAACGCTTGCCAAGAAACAAAACTCAACAGCTAACACGTTTAAATCTGGGCGGAAAGAGCCAACCGATTATAACCGATGGCACCCTGAAATGAAAACTGCTGTGTGCGTTGGCGGATTGAAGACTGACTCCAAATAGGCAGAGAAAGAACCCAGGCCCATCTGTGGCCAGTGGGTAAAGGTAACCGACAGCCAAGAGGAGGCTCCGAAGGGCAGCTCAGAGCTGGCTCTCCTCCTCTCCAAGCGCTTCCTCTTACACACACCCAAGGAGGCTGCTGAGTGCAGCAGGCTGCTTACTTGACCCCACTCCTCCTCAGCCACTTACACTCCTTCAACAAATGCAGTCCTCGGGATGCCTAAGGAATGGCCTCCCAGATGGTTTCCACCTCTTAAAACTACAGTGTCGGAGCACCTGATCTGTAAAAGGACATGAGGGGCAGAGGCATCAAGAGGGCAGGAGCTTTGTGGAGGGACTGTCACCAGGAAATGACAGCAGCCCAACAGGCAAAGCTGGCTTCGCTTCCAGGGAAGCAGCTAAAGTAGTGGTTTTCAACCTTCCTCATGCTGTGACCCTTTAAAATAGTTCCACATGTTGTGATGAACCCCCACCCCCCGCCATAAAAATGTCTTTGCTACTTCATAACTAGTACTTCGTAAAGTAGGAATTTTGCTACCGTTATGAGTTGTAAGTGTAAATATCTGATGTGCAGGATATCTGAAATGCGACCCCTGTGAAAGGATCGTTTGACCCTTGGAGGGGTCACGACCCGCAGGTTGAAGATGGCTGGGCTAGAAGCTAGCCGCTGCAGGAGAGTGGAGTCTTGGGATGTGGCAAGTGGAGTTTGAAGACGGAGAGAGGCTGGTGAGGATCCTGAGTCAGGGGAGCAGTATCAGATGAGGCGCCACAGAGCCTCAGAATACAGCCATCCCTTGAGCCTTTCTGGTTCCTACTCCAAGACTTCCTTCATCATGAAAATGGAGAGGCTGGAGAGGTGCCTCAGTAGTTAGTGCGTTACGTGTTCTTGAAGAGCAGCGCTCAGGGTCTGCCACAAAGTCTAATGCCGGTTAACTCCAGCTCCAGGCCATCCAGAGCCGTTTTCTGCCCTCCACCGGCATCTGCACACATCAGGCATACACTCGCATGATGCCTCCTGCGGGGGATGCTAGACGCACGGGGCTGCCCTCTGGATCCCTGGGAGGCTGCAGGAGGAACATCCGCCGGCAGAGGGCGCGCGCTGCACTACTGTGTCCCTGCGCTCCTCCAGTACAAGGCAGGTCCCAGGAATGGAGGAGTAGGTCGCCCCAACACTCCGCAGCCGCGGGAGCTTCAATTTCACAGTCGCCCTGTCTGGTTCGGAAATTAGCAAAAAGTCTCTTTATCTCACTTGGAGTCGGCCTTAAGCGTAGAAGGTCACAGTTCATTAGCCTAGGCTACGTCTGTGAAGAACAAATAAAAGAGCAAAACTAGACCAGTGTGCAAACAGCGACACCAGGGGACAACCGTCTACTTCTAATCTAAGTCATTTTAGGTCACAGTGTAGGTCAAGGCTAAGCACACGTCGGTTCTTGAGCTGCCAGGTGCCTGTGGGTGTCGGATAGCCAGTTCCAAGCAAACCCTCAACTCGTGCCAAAATCTGGGTTTTATGTAAATCCCAAGCTTCCTCCCAGTCCCTCTCAGTAAGGGCTGGGCCCTGGACTGCCCAGGCGGTTCAGTGAGAACCTGTTGCTCTTCCGGGCAGCCCTGTGATGACTAGGTCAACTCCAAGGACTAGCTAACCAAGGACTAGCTAGGCTAGGCTGTCACTGTCTCTCTTCACTCTTCCTCTCTCCCCTCCACCCTTTGTTTTTGTTTTGTTGTGTTTCCAGACAGGGTTTCTCTCTGTAGTCCTGGAACTCATTCTGTAGACCGGGCTGGCCTCCAACTCAGAGATCCGCCTGCTTCTGCCTCCCCGGATTAAAGGCGTGCTCCACCACACTCTTCAGCAGGAGCCTGAACTATAGCAACAGCTATGCATTTGAGACAGACAGGCTAGGGGTGGGGGTGGGGAAGTGAGTCAGGCCTTGTAGAGAGAGAGAGGGAAGTAGTGAAAATTAACAGAACAGCATCAAAAAACCTTTTCCGTATCAGGTCCAAAGTAAAGACTACAAATACAGGGCCACTAGGAAAAGCCACTTTTCAAACTGCCCGCCTCAGAGCCAGCAGACAGCTACTTTCTACTGAGTTTAGTTATTTTCCCGTATGGGAGGGGGCGCAGGATATTTGAGGCAGGATTTTCCTAATTCACATCTTCTTCCCTCGGCCTCCCAGGGCTGGATTAGACTTGAGTCGCCAGGGTCACCTTCCACCGAGTTCTAACTTTGTGCTGGAATAACTCCCTGAAAATTTCAACATGTTGGAAAACATTTAAAGACAAGACTCCAGGGCTGAAGGCATGGCTCAGTGGTTAATAGCACTGGCTGTTCTTCTAGAGGACCCCGGTTTGGCGGCTCACAGCCATCTATAACTCCAGTTCCAAAGGACCCAAAGCCTTCTTCTCACCTCCGCAGATACCAGACACACACACTGTATACACAGATGGAAAAGCATCTTAAAACCTGCAAAGCCATCGTCTTCAGCGCTAAGAAATTAACTTTGTCATAGTAAAAGGTAATGCCCAAAAGCATGGTGGTAACTCACAATAAGACATAAGCTGAGGTCTTCAAAGAAGACCATGACTGCAGGCGAAGGGCCCAGGCCCCACTACCACGGTCTGAAAAAGCTCTTCTATGCAAGCCACTCTGCCACTCATATTTTCACTCCCAAACAGCTGGTCTACTTTTCTATAACTACTTCAATCAAATGTTCTAAACTGGGGTTCTCTTTAAACTTTAAAGACAATAGCAGCTTTGCTTCATTGTCTTTGGCAATAATTCATTTCCTTAAGGATTAAAGATTGTGCCTCTAGCTACTCAACTCTGTCTCGAGAAATGTGAACTATTGCTTCACTAGAACAAGGGCACTATTATTGCTTAATTTAAAACACAGCCTTCTCAGTTCATTTAAATGAAGACCCGAAGAATCAGGAGACCTCCTTAGCCAGCAAACTGTGTCACTCTGACATTTAAGCCATCTTCAAACTCAATATCTAATTTTTTAGTAAAAATAATAATAATAATAATATTAACAATGGTAAGAAATAAAAAATGAAGAACTTAGGAGTAAAAGTAACAGACTCTAAACTCATCCCTCGATCCAAAAATTGGGTAATCTGTTTTACTTTTATTCTAGATTTCACATCTCTTTAAATTTAGACTATGATGTTTATTTCTTGATTAACTAATGTTGGCCCTATCATCAGAAAGGGAAGCGAATGCACCATTTGCTATTTCTGGTTCTATTTGCTATGCTACATTTTAAATTCTTGCGCTTCGATTTTCTTTTCAACATTTGATAGAAATCTCAGTTCCTCCAGTTAATGACATGAAGCGAATGGCGTTTTGACCCCTCCTCCCATCGGACACTCCTCTTCACTTTCCCAAATATCACCATCTGCCCTTCTTCACACACAACCAGAGCCAAGTTACCTCCTGTGACCACAATTCACTCCTCTCTTTTTCACGTGGCAAGGTATGCAAGTATTATTTATTCAGTGCTGAATAAATGGATGGACGACAGCAC